TACTCCTGTTTGACTCTTAAAGAGCCTGCCCTGTAACATTCCAAGGAGTGCTGTCATAAAAGGCAGCAATGATTCAGATGAGTTTCAGTAGAAGAGAATATAAGTAGCTCAGGGTTAAACTGTGGAATCCTTAGTGCTTGCTGAGCTTAGTTTTTTCCTTGCAGGCATTTTGCTATCTGACTAGTTAACAACTAAACTAGGTAACCAATGAAAGCCCTCTAAAATATCTTAAGTAAACCAAAAGACCCAGCATCCCAAGAAGGAAAAAAACAGGAGGAGTCATCTACCACATACAGTGTAAAGTACTGTAACAACCACTATGTAGCACAGACAAGCAGGAGACTGGCACAGCTCATCCATGAATACCAACTAGCAATCATAAGACAGGATGAAAAATCCTTATTCTCACAATACATGAACAGACTCAGTCATAGACTCAACTGGAAAACTGTGAGGATAGTAGACCAAGCTAAATCCAAAACTACTAGGGAATTCCTGGAATCTTGGAACTCAGACCCATTAGCCATCAGTAGGCACATAGAGATAAACCACATTTACACACCATTTGAAAGACACAATAAAATAAGCAAAGAAGGAAACAAAAACACCAGAACATATCCTCTTCAGCAGCCAACACCCAGATAAGCAGCGATTAACACCAGACAAATGATCAAGCAGAAAACCTTATCCTAATGAAAGAATGACCAAGGGGAAAACCACACCCACTAGCAGGACAAGTTACTGTATATAAATGAGCAAACACAATTTCACTGGTGCTGATGATGTCACCTAGATGGCAGTGATGGTATTCTACCGGTTCGGCCCAGTTCTGCTGAGCCGGCAGAGCTGATGAGCAGAAACAAACTGGTTCTCCCTGACACTCTGCTATTGGGCCCGCCCGCCTGCCTGCCAGGGCTCCCATACTCACCTTTATCCCCTGCTTTTGAAGTGCAGCTGCTTTGCGCAACGGAGCAGATTGCCGCGCATCAAGCAACAGGGAGAGTGCAGGAATGCAGGAGGCAAGTCAGAAAGCCCCTGCATCTGCGCAAAGTGCGCATTTGGCACACACGCACACACAAACTGTGTGTGAGCATGCAAAGCACACCCACCAAGCCACGCCTACCGAACCGGTGGTAAACATGTTTGAAATGTACCACTGCTAGATGGCTAATGAAACATCTGAAAGCAAACAACCATTCTCAGAGAGAATCAGATGTGTTTACTGGGTTTGCCAGATGCCATTTTAACTTTCTACCAAAGGCTAATCTGCCTTCATTGCTTCCAAGGGCTCAGGTCCTGCATTTTTAAGCCATTTAATATTGCTTTGTTCTCTGTTTTTATTTGGCTCAGATTCACAGGCAATATTAGGGGATTGATCGAGTTCCCAATCTAATGCAGCTGATGGATTACATTTTAAGTCTAAATCAAAACACTGTTTCTGGCATTGTAGAATTTTCTGTTGTTTTAGCAAGTCACCCAGTTGCGTTGCAAATCCTCATTCTGGGATAACTAGCCTTTCCTGATAGCAATACCACTTAGACTTATATACTGTTTCACATTGCTTTCCAGCCCCCTCTAAGCAGTTTACAGAGTCAGCATATTGCACCCCAACAATTTGGGTCTTTCCAGAAGGATGGAAGGCTGAGTCAATCTTGAGTCTGGTGAGACTCTATCTGCCAAACTGCTTGATCAGCTGGTGATCAGCTGAAGTAGCCTGCAGTGCTGCACTCTAACCACTGCGCCACTGTGGCTCTGATAGTACTTTCCAAGTTGAAAAGAATGAATTTTGGTCACAATGCCAGTGTCTTTTGTAGCCAGCACTTCTGCAGCGATGTTATCCACATAAGGCTCCTTTTCACTTCTACCATTTTTACAGATTTGTTTTGTCAGCTTTTTTGACTTTGTTGGATTTGCAAGATAAGCCACAGATTTTTCTTCATTTCAAGTCCATTGTGTCACCTGTCATCTGTTTTTTAGTGCTATCCTTCTTCCCACAAGGGCAGATAATTTCTCTTGGTGCATTGATGATGTCTCTGATTTCAAGCCTCTGCTCCTCCACATTGTCATCACCTTGATTTGGGAGCAGGGCCTCAGATCTGTTATACGGTGCTATCTGAAACGCTTCATAGTGTTGCTGAAGTGGCAGCAAGTTCAACAGGAGTTAAGGTGGTAGATGGCACTGTGATACAGCTTTCAATTTAATCAGCATCAAACCAGGTGATGATCAGACCCTTCTTCTGCACCTTTCAACACCTGGACATCATTAGCAGCAGGCCTAAAGTGTTTGCCGATCAGGATTAGAAACATAAGACTGTAGAAGCACCACTTAGTGAGTGTGAATATCAAGTTAATGGATGATTGGGCTTGGCTGGAATAAATTGTTGCATATGACCAGTGAGTTTAATGATGCAGAGCATTTTTGATCATGCTAACAGACCAAAATGTTTTCACAATTACTTCCAGGCAAACCACAGTTTATTAATCTGTGTATTTAGATCACCCACCAAAATGAAGAAGTTTTTGAGGGTTTTGTGGTTCAGTATGAAAAAATGGTCTGTTTTGTCTTCACTTACACATTTCTTTGGTACATAGGATGCAGTGATAGTGACTGGTACAATTTCATTGAATTAGGGGATCTGTCAGTTTTGATTTTGGAGCAAGTTTTCCAGGAGTACCCTTTTATAAAGGCTGCGTCTTTAATGTCAACCATAGAAAAACAAACTCTATAAAAAAGCAAATAGTGTCCATCAAAAGCATGTAAGCCAGCACAGTTATCTCTCACACATTATCAAGAAATCAGACAATTGTAGTAGAATATACTCAAGATAAGGCTCCTTTGCAGATCAAAATGGCAACACAGTCCAGACTGTTTCAAAGGACGTTGTTGCGTTGTTTTATCCACTATTGGCTGTGAATCCTATTGCTTGTAGCGGATATTCACACCAGAATAATACAGGTACATGAATTTGGAACCATTTAGGTTGTAAATCTCCTTCCTGCTAGATTGATGCAGTTGCATCTGAGTTGAAATTGCCACTATAGTAGTACATGTGGGCAATTTGGTGCAGTCTCTTTTCACTTGGACACCACTTAAGATGTTCTGTGTGACAAGGTTGACAGTATTCTTTGGTGTTGCAATTTTCTGGGTGATATCCAGAGTCTTAGGACAATGTGATACCCAATGTGTGTAACCACCAGCCACAGAGATATATATTTTCTAGTGATATGCATTTTAATACTATCCTGGTAATTGTCAATACCAGCAAGTCAACTCTTCCGGACACAATAGTTTTCATTCATTTGGGACACAGCGCCATAACTACATAATAAAAAAATTCATACTGTTTGGCAGAGAACAGCCATGGTTCGTAGGCTATCCCCCCTAATACTATGAGCTGATCATGGATGGAGAAGTGAATGTACCTGATTTCATTGAAGTTAGGGCTAGGCAAGAAATAAATATACCACATTTAATAATTATTTTTTTTACATATCAGATACATATCAAAATAATTATTTTTTTTACATATCAGATAAAAGAATGCTAGAACTGTACATAAAATCAAAGCAAACCCAATAAAATGTAAAAACATATTCTAATGGGAAGGGTGATCTTTCTTATTTTCCCATACAGCAAACTCTTTCTGAAATCTGGAAGTCAGGGCGGGAGAAAAAAAAGAAAGAATGAAAAATGTGATCCTTTAAATTAGGTTCCCTTAAAGTGCTACAATTTGCAAAAGATGGGCAGGGTGTCAATTCTTTTTGGCACTTTCTCTGCCAACTCAGTTTTGCTGACATTACAGACCCCATCTTCTTTCCCTGCCCTTCCTCTTCTCTTCTCCTCTCCTTCCCTTCATAGTCTCCACTGCACAGAATCAGGTCTGATAAAGTTTTGCATAAATGTTTTGTGCAGAATTCCTTATCCTCTAAAAAAAAAGAGGAGTTTGTTTGTTTGTTTTTTAAAAAAAACCACATAGAAGATTGAGAATTCTGGAATCCTTGTTTTGTATACATCATGCATGGAGAGGCATTTTGGGTGACCTTCATTCACTGCCTTATGCACCCCGGGGAGTCTGTGACCTACTCTCCAAAAACACAGCCTTAGGCAATAAATCTGGCTACAATCATATAAGCAATTAATTGGGAGGCAGCCCAACTGAATTCTCAGTGAACATGATTTGAATTAAGCCTTTCGGGGCTTGTTGGTTCTTTCTTGGAAATGGGTGGTTCAGCTTAGAATCTATCTAATTTATTTCAATATGGCCATTTTTGTATAACACCTCCAAACCAGAATTTTTGTTAATGAAATCACTGTTTTTCACCTGTCAATATCACAGTTTAATGTTGCAGTTTGGTTTGGGCCTGGACAATCTAGAACTGTGCCGCCTATGGTCTGATCTAAGCATAGTACACAAAATTGTTTGTTACAACGTCTTACTTGTCAATGACTTCTTCAGTCTCAATCACAATAATACACGGGCAAACAATCGATACAAACTCAAAGTAAACCACTTCAAACTCGATTGCAGAAAATACGACTTCAGCAACAGAATGGTCAAAGCCTGGAATGCCCTACCCAACTTCGTTGTTACAGTCTCAACCCCTCACAGCTTCAACATCAAACTGTCTACTGTGGATCTCACCCCATTCCTAAGAGGTCCTTAATGGGGCATGCGTAAACACACCAGTGTGCCTACTGTCCCTGTCTTACTGTCCCCATTTATCTGTATTTACTCCCTTTGTCCTTGTTGATGTTCATACTTATACTTGTTATCTTTTACATATTTGACAAAAAAATAAAATAAAAATATAGTCAGTCAGTGGCTGGGTTCTTATAACTTACTGAATCACAAACTAACCAAATCTATTTAGCTGGGTTGTGTGAACCCCGCCTATGTAGAATAGTAATTATTTCCCAAGTGGTTTCACAGTGTTAATTCTTCTGAACAGATTGTCCTATTTTTGTGCACAAATGCAACTCCTCCCTTTATTCTTTCCAGTAACTTAGGAGTGCCACCTGGTCGAGGTAATTGTCCCTTGATGGTTCCTCTGCCCTTTGATCTCATTTATACGGACTACCATGGACTGCAGCAGATGAAACAGCATATGGGCCTCTCCTTTAAAAAATACAGGTAAGAACTGGGGCTATTTTCTGACATCCCCTCACCCTGTTTTGCAACATATCTGGTGAAAGGGAGAAAGACAGTACTGGCTGACAGATGTACAAGTTTACTACTGTGGAATCAGTTTCCCATAGAAATAAGATCAGCATCTGCCTTGTTAATTTAAGTAGAGAAGACATATTTTTGAAAGCAGGAATTCTGGGATTGATATGGAAGATGTATGTAACTAGAGTATATATGGGCATTTCTTCTAAGAATGTAGTCATGATTACATTTTCATTTATGTGAAGTTGTTATTATAATATAATATGTTATAAGCCACCTAGAGACATTGGATACAAGATGGAAGCAAATAAATTTCATAATAAATACATATGTACATACGTACATACATACATACATACATACATACATACATACATACATACATACATACTGTAAGGCATCCAGGAAGTATCCATGATATCAATCACTCCAAGATATTTTCTCTCCAATTGGTTTATTCAGAAACAGACCTGGTATGTCTAAAGCAATTTCCTAAATTGAAAATGTTACAGAGAGTCCACCTTCTCTCCTTGCTTCTCTCCTCCCACTTCTACACTTCATAAATGACAAGAACCAATTAACTGCAACTGGAATTTCTTAATATGACACACAGAATAACCTTGAACTTTTCAACTCCTCCAACTCCCTTAAAAAAAATGTGGCAGCTGAATTTCAAAGCTGACACATACACTGTACAATTTATACAAATATACTGAGGGGTGGTATTCTACCAGTTCAGACTGGTTCTATAGAACTGGTTGTTATGATTCAGAGAACCGGCAAATCATGCCTCTGGCTGGCCCTGCCCTTCCCTGCCCACCCCTCCCCTCCCTGCCCAGTCAGTCCTTATTGCGCATGCCCGACATCATTGACTGCATTGTCACTCCCCCAGTCGCTCCTTAAGGTATTTTTCACCCTCCCAATGATCAGCTATTTTGATGATCAGCTGTGCCGGGATCCCCCTTGCTGTCTTACTGCTTCGCCCAGGAGCCAGAAGGCAAAAAGGGGCACACGGGGGTGGGGAAGGTGTGATGCAAACAGAAAAAAAAGAAGCCACACCCACCCAGGCACATGGCCATGCCCACCTAGCCATGCCCACAAAACTGGTTGTTAAAAAATTTGAATCCCACCCTGAATATACTGTATACTGTACCACTTTTGTAAATTACTGAAAACTGATTTTTGAATGAAACTGCATAAAATCCATGTAATCTTAAATATAGACAATCATGCTTAAGTTTAGTGACTGTCTGAAGTTACAATGGACTTCCCCAAACCTATCTATGAATCAGTTTCAAATTCCAATGGCCACACACACATGTACAAAGTTACTTGATTGCATTTTGGGTGCTTGGCAACCAGCTCATCTTTATGACTGTTTGCAGTCATGTAACTACAAGTTTTGGTGTTTTTCCCCTAGTTTCCAGCACTTATTTCTGGTTTCCAGCAAAAACGTCTAGTGTGGAAAACAAATTTGCTTAATGCCCATAGCATTCATTTAATGACCACTGCAAGATAGTACAACTGGGCATGGTGATGTGGTGACTTGTTTAGTGACCACCATGATTAACAACCATAATTCCAGGCTCAATCACAGTCATAATTCGAGGGCCAGCTATATATCTCTTAGGTGCTTTCTATTTTTGGATATTCCAGCCTTCAGATCCATTCCACTAACTCTGTCATGCATTGGAAATTTTCTTTGTTATTTCAATCATCAAAACTTTCCTCGTCACAATTCTGTGGTCCTTTCTAGGTTGGTCAGCTGAGAAATTTTTACACATCAGGATTTTAATGCTAAATCCTTGGAAACTGAATTTGATAATGGGTTATGGAGGCATGGAGAAAAGCTGCTTAAGATTTTCCCCTCCAAGCCCTCTTCCAAAGTCATGTTTCATCCATATATAGAAGGAATGGGATCATAGATAGTTTGAGACGAAACCCGGAACCAATTATAAGATTGCTTGGACATTTTTCTTGATTCCCATCCTAAAAAAGAGCATGAATGCTTATTTAAAAAATATCAAAACATTTCATTTAAGAAATTATTTTTTCTTACAATGCTCAAGGTTTGATTTATATCTGTATTAGACAAGATGATTGGTCCACATACATTGTTCTTCAAATCCCATCAACCTTAACCAGCATGGCCTAAATGATACAGAACTGTGGTGATTTCATTCCCCAAAAATATGGAGGTTATATGTTGTCTGGTCTTTGTACTGCAGGTCATGCTGAGACTTCTCTCCGTTTCCCTGTTTTTCTGATGGAACCACAACAGCAACAACAAATGATTCTCCTTTGACTTCATGGGCCAAATTCCTTTTCCTTGCTTTGTTCACTCAGTCACTGATCAGACTATCTTTATTTCAATCTGTTACATCTTTCTCCTTCTCCTAGCTTCATAGACACAGAACATATCTATTTTTTCCTCCTTTGATTTCTTCCTTTAGACCCATTGCCATTTATTCTTCTTACATTCCAGGCTGTAGTCTTTCCAGAGTCATGACTGACATACAAAGCCCCCTTGTGCAGAATTTCACTTAACCCCCCACCTCCAAAAACCCTCACATTTAAAAAATATTTAAAATATTGCACCTGCTTCAGTTTCACAGATGGTCTCTTTCTATAAAATAGGGTGGTGTGGCTTTGGAAACAATTGGTGCAGAGGTGGTATTTAGCAGGTTCTGACCAGTTCTGGAGAACTGGTAGTGGAAATTTTGAGTAGTTTGGAGAACCGGCAAAGACCACCTCTGACTGGAGATTTTACAGTATCCTTCCCCTGCCACGCCCACTAAACTGGTAGTAAAAAAAATTGAATCCCACCACTGAACTGATGCCCCTCTATGTACAGAATGCAAAATAAGAGAGCTGGAAGGACCTTGGAGAGCTCCTGCTCAAGCAGGAAGCCCTGTATCATGAAGTGCCCTTGGGCAGGGCGGCACAACTTGTTCATTGTGTTTTGTGATCCTGAATCTTCCACATGGCTTGGTTGCCAACAGAAGTCCCATTTTAGACTTGGTTTGCCCATTATGGCTTTGGGCAGTTGGTATGTTCATGTACGTTTAGGGAAGAAGGCCACGGGGTGTTGATTAAGTTTCCAGACTTATTTATACACGCAGCATTCCCAGTGCTAATATTGCTGGATGGTACTCACCATGCTAAACCTTTAAATTTCTATTTTTCTGCCTAGAATACCAATTCCTTTGAAATCTATAGCCAGTATTTGACACTTCTCAGAGCAGAGAGTAGAGTGATTTTCTTTCAATGGCTGTTCTCTTAATAAATGTTGTTTGCTTTTTCAAGGAAACAAAATGGATTGCACTATTCCCTTGCTGTACCTGGACATCACTATAACATGCAGTTATTCCAAATTCTGAATGGGACTGAAACTGAAAATCACTTGAACATTTAGCCTTTCTTTCTCCTTTGAAGCAAGGAGAAGTACATTTCCAACACATCCTTAAGATTTACACTTCCAAACCTTGACTATCTCCATGACTGGAACAGCTGGTCAATTGCACACTCAATGGAGATTCTGTTTCCCAGCTGCCATTGTCCCAGCTGCCATTGTCACATGTTATGTTGTGCTTACAATGGCAAAAGAGCAAAGTTATACATTGTTCTCAAAAGAGAAATTATCACCATCATCATCAGCCTCAGGCTTTCAAGGGAGGAGGCAAGAGTTTGGGTGTTCGGTGTGTGAAGAGATCAGAGGGAACTAATGGATCAGCCTTCTGTAAACACATTCTGTAAACATCACAAAAGAAAGAAAAAGTGACTGTTAAAGGGACAAAGTCATCTTTATTTTGCCCTCCCACCCCACCCCACCCCCAGTACTAAAAATACAGGAAAACAAAGCAAAATGACCCAACTCTCTGTCTCTTGTCAGATCATTTGCTAGCAAAATTTGTGATTTCATTTTAGCACTGATAGTATCTTTTTCTTCTCTCACCTGCCATCCCTGCTATCCTTCATGATTGTTGGTCAAAAATATCACATCGTGTTATAGCTTTTATTATAAATCAGTTTTTCTTGTGTATTTTGCTTGACCTAAAAGAGCAGAGTTGGGATTCTGATGCTTGATTCATATTTGCTGTATGCTCAGATCTTGCTCTCTTCCTCTCCTTTGATTGGCTTGAGAATATCCAGAGGTGTGTGAGGATTGGGGAGGGACAAAAAAGTAAGCTCCTCCCCTCCAGTGCCCATGCAGCCTAAAGAGTCACTATAGCATGCAGTGGAAAGACTCATAGATATTCCATGCAAGGAGGAGTGAAGAAGAAAGGTAAAAACAATGAGAAGACTCCATCTCTTTTTCCTCTTCTTTGCATATTGGTAGTTGCATGCTTCCAGAACGACTCTGTACTATTAACATTATACACTCATCTTTTATTGGCAAATAGAAACAAAAACCACAATGTACAGATAGAGAAAACAGAATTCCTGTGCAACTACAAATGAAATTGTATTTTAAAAAAAGACTTATTTTAAAACACATTAGAATTCACACAGTGATTTAATGGGGGGAGAGAGAGAGAGGCACTCTGTCCCTGCCCATATATCTGGGTAATTGGGTGGATGAATTCAAACATCAGCAGAATGGGTAGAATCAAGTTCTTGGTTCACTTTTTGTTTAGAGGGAGAGGCTGAATGGCGAATTTTAATGGAGAGAGATGCTAATAATGATCCTTAAAATTATCTTACAGTTCCCTAACAGGAAAAAGCAAATCCCATCCATTCTAAGGGTGTTTGGGAGGACACAATATTACTCTAGGGGACTAGAGGTTATGTAGTTATGAAACAGATCAAGAAGATTGAAGAAAACCACACAGATACACTGTCAGTACATATACAGATAAAGCAGGCTAGATTCCATGATTCAAACTAACATACATTGTACATAATTTTTTAATATAATGTTTTGATTTGTAATGTACTTCCATGGGAACTGAAATCTGTCACCAATCCAGATTTGGGGTGGGAGGGTTCTTTATGCTTTGTTTTGGGGAAGTATTGCTTGAGATCTTTTCTCTCCCCTGCCCTTTACTTTACACTTTCTTTTGATCCAACAGCTGTTTTCTGAGGAAATACATGGTTGCAGAGGCTATTTACAGACTAATATTATTCACTGCACAAGCTTTTAAGTGCAAGATATACATGGAGTTGACTGTAGATTAATGGAGTGGCAAATTTAATAGTAAAAGCTCCATGAAGTCTAGTGGCTCCTATTGTCTTTGTTGCATGCTATGCTTCATTTTGCAAGCTCTGTTTTAAAAGCACATTTTTAAAAAATTCATGACTATGGTTTCTCAAGAAAAAGAGAGTCTTAGAGCTTCTCCTTTGCCTGCATTAACATTTGTTTGTTGCTAGTTCCATTAACTCAATTCTGAGCAGCTCACAAGCTGCAAAATACAAAATAATCTATAAATAATATAATAAGCAAATACCAAAAACATCAAAATGTAACATAATCATTCAAACTGCAACAATTCAACCCCATAATCGTAAAGCATTTGGGCTATTTTATACCAGATTACACATCACAGAGGCGTATTTCTAATTCATGTTGGAAAACTCAACTTTTGAGTGGCTTTTTGGGCACCAGGAGTGATGGGAGAGGGGCAGATCTTTATAGCTGGTGGTGGGGGTGCGTTTTACAGAAGGGGAGATCTCAGAAAGTGCTAACTTCCAGATTTCCTCTCATTGCCACTTATGGCTGGTAGGGACTGTCAGTAAATCTTTTGGGTAGAATACCTCAGGCAGATGGATTCTGTTCAGAGTGAATTGGTCTGGTGGATAACCAGTGTTAGGGATATACACCCTAGCAGAACCTGCACGGAAGTCAGGCAGGCAGGCAAATATGTGAGATAAACATTGTTGTAGCTTACACTCAGTAAAGCAGATACACAGTGCTAGTTAAATAGTTTATTCCAGTAAGATTTATAGCATAGTCAAACAGTCCATATATCATACACTAGTTCAGTCCGTCCGGGGATTAATCAGTTGCAAAGTCCAGTGTCGAGAAAGAGGTCAGTAAACTTACAATATCAGTCCAGTAATATATCTCTTCGCAGTAGAGATATGAAGAAGTCAAACCTCCTTTCTTCCTTCAGCAACAGCAAAGAACATGCAGTTAACAATCCATCATCGTCAGCAAGCAAACCAGTAAGCCAGCAATCAAATCAAGTTCTCTTGCTCCCTCTTATGGTGCTTTACAGCCGCACCCAAAAATACATGCTTTGGAGTTAAAGTGACACACACATAAATTCACTATCATAGTTTATATATATTATTTTACCCAAACTACGTTAGGTAACCATGTTATTCCTAACAACCAGGACCCAAACAATAGCAATGGCACTTAGACTTATATACCACTTCACAATGCTTTTACAGCCCTCCCTAAGCAGTTTACAGAGTCAGCATATCACCCCAAACAATATAGGTCCTCATTTTACCCACCTTGGAAGGATGGAAGGCAATTTGAAATATTGCAACCAGCTCCTTGAATTGCACCTAAAAACAAGCCAATGCTGGTCTCATAATCTTGTTGTTACATGGCTCCTCCTATTAACATTCATGAATATGATTTCTCAAGAAAAAAGGAGTCTTAGCTATCTTCAAGAACAGATCCCACTCATTCCTCCATTCATTGAGTCAATGGAAAAAAGTATGCTGGCATAAAATGTACTACACTGATGGCTGAACTTAATAGCTCTCTGTAACAGTTGGTGAGATGGAGATGGGTGCCTGAGACGTAGGATTTAGCCATCTTTCAAGTATCCTGAGTGACAAATCACTGGTACAGAAGTGCTCATTACATATAATCTGTCTTTTGAGCTGATGACACACAGGCTAGAATTTTTCTTTTTTTTTCAACAAATTTTATTAGTTTTACAAAAACAATACACAAACAATCAAGGCATAATAACATAAAAAATCCTTTCTGAGAAAACCAATAGAACGTACAAAATAGTTCCAAATTGTAATATAGATATTTACGTTATCTATTCAACTTCGTATCTTATCCCAACTTCTCCTTTTCATTCTATTATCCAAATTATATTTCTTGCTAATTAAAGTTTTATTGCCTTTCATAAACAATACACAAGCATACAAAACATAAAACATAAAAAAAAAAAAAACATAAAACATCTTTTCTGAAAGCTGTTTAATCCCGGGCTAAAAACTCTTCGCACAGACACAAGTTCAAAAATCATATTCACTTTATATATCATTCCATATCTTATTACCATTTTCAACTTTCTATATAGCTTCTTCCCTCTTTTATCTTTCTTAATTTTGTTTTATTTATCTTATCTCAATTCAGTTCATAATACTTATCATTCTTTGTCTGTTCTATTTCCATCTATCCATTCATCTTTTCTCTTTTAATATACTTCTCCTGTACACTGATTGGAGTGACGCCTTTGACTCATTCCCCTAGCTTAAAATTACTTAATATAACACTTAATTTATATTGGGATTCTGTTTAGTACATTCTAAAGTTACACAATAAATTTTATGAAAGGGGTAAAAACATAACAATAACTAAATAAAATCATATATAACCATTATCCATATCATTAAAAAGCTAATCATATATATTGATACTCATTTATATCTTAAGCATTTTACTCTAAATACACATATAAAAACACAATCTTATCTACCTTCCAGAATCCCTTTTTTCAATTAGATTTACCCATTGTCTCTAAATAAGCTTTGTTTCTTTAAGTCTTGCTTCCCACCATTAAGGCTTCTCATCCCCTCCTTTCTCTCTTGCTTATTCTTCTCCTTGCCCTTTTTACCCCTTTGTCTCTCCTCCTCCCTTTTCTTACTCCCTTTCTGTTGTTTTCTAATCTTGTATCCACCTTTCATCTCATTTTTCTCTTTTTTGTTTGTTTTTTCAAACCTTAAAATCCCCTTTTTCTTTTCCTCTTTCTCCTCCTCCCCAAAAAGAACCCATTGTTCATCAAATATGGATTCTTCTTCTTCTTTGTCCCAGTTGTCCTGCTGCGTAGTCAACTTTTCATAAGTGCATACTGCCATTTCTAGAAATTGAAATAGAGTGCCCAAAGTATCTTTTCCATCTTGTTTTTCTTTTTTATATTTTTTATATTCAATTTTTAGTTCATCCACAAGCGATGCCATCGTGAAGAGAAAAACTTTTTCCAAAACAACCACCCAAGTATTTTTAATCAAAAATAATTGCAAAGAATTCCAAAGTTACCAAAGTTCTTTCTTCTCTTTCTCTTTCTGGGGTTACTGTTTAATCAAAGAGATCCAATTACAATATATCTTTCTTTAAAGTTCTAGGCAATCTCCTCCTTTTTCAACTTCTGCTCCAATTTTTTTTCCTCTCCCTTCCCACTTACAACAACAATTTTCTTTTAAGTATTCAGAAATCCATACCTCCAATAAGGGTTTTCCGATTTCTTAAATTATTAAATCCAATGTCCAGGAATCCTTTATCCCTTGGCTTTAACTTTCAAAATAATTTACCTTCAGTGCCCAGATAAATTTTCCAAATCTTCATCTGCTGTTTCTATGGGGTGGGAGAGTGAAGAAGGTTTTTTTCCCCTTGACAGCTTTCTCCGCCGCTTTCCGATCTTCTTAGGGATACAATGTATCTTCCAGCAATTCAAACAATTCAGTTTCCAGGGTGTTTAAAAGTTGTTGATTGACCCGGCTCAGACAGCACTTTCACTTTTCCTGCTTCCTCCAGCACAATCTTACCCGGCTGCAGGCTTCTTCGTGGCGGCCATCACTGACCGCTGCTCCACCACCTCGGGAAAAAGGGGTTTTTCCGGACGAGGAGGGGGTCTGCGACACCCCCAAGCCCCTGTCCGGCTCCCCTCTCTCTTCGGCTGCCTCTACAGGGCAGCCATATCCCCCTGACCCGTTTGGATCGGGGGTACCTTGGCGGCAAGCACAGCAGGAATTGCGGACAGTCACGAATTCCTGCTGTCACCGAAGCCGCGCGAAACCGGAAGCCCCACAGGCTAGAATTTTTCTGAAAGAGCATTAAACTCAGGTCCAAAACTAACTTGGGCATGGGTTACATACATCGTCTGAAATGGAAAGGAAGAGAGCCGTGTTGGCACAATGGTTAGAATGCCCACTGCCAGGAATTTGATCCTGACCAGCTCAAGGGTAACTCAGCCTTCCATCCTTCTGAGGTGGGTAAAATGAGGACCCAGATTGTTGGGGGCAATAGGCTGGCTTTGTAAACTGCTTAGAGAGCTGTAAAGCACTGTGAAGCAATATATAAGTCTAAGGGCTATTGCTATTGCTAAGAGAAGTTGTGCAAAGCACTGGGGACAAATTCTTCTGTTTCTGGCAATGCATTTCCTCAGTGCCTGACTGCTAAGGCTACTCTTGGACATGAGTCTAATGTCGAGCTAGCATGTTATAGTGATTAAGCTGCTGGATTGGCATTGGAGAGACCCAGGTTTGGAGTACTCCTCAACCATGGAAATTCATCAGGTGTGTTTGTGCCATATTTCTTTCTGCCAACTATTGGTTGCTATTGTGAGGACAAATAAAAAGCAGGAATAATAAGTGCAGCCTTTGAACAAAAAGCAGGATATATCTCTACGAAACAAGCCAACAAATAAACAGGTCCCTGGTGCAAGAAGTTTATAACTATTCATTGAAGATCACAGGAATCCTAAATTACATAATAGGGTACTTCCACTTAAGAAAGCATGACTTTCAAAGATGTCAGTGTTATAGGTTTCCTCTCTTATTCTCTTACACAGATGCCGTGTTCGAGTAATTGATACTTTTGGGACTGAACCTGCATACAACCATGAGGAATATGCCACTCTACATGGATATCGAACAAACTGGGGCTATTGGAACCTCCATCCTAAACAGTTCATGACAATGTTTCGTAAGTGATTTTTATATTCATTGTGGTTATCATGTGGGATAACAAGGTAAGAATCTTCCTAGGTTTCCAGAGTGGAAATACAGAAATCTCCAGGAAGCTTATATGAAGAACCCAAAAAACAAACCTCCTCCACTATGTTCTGTCCAAAGTCCCTTTTGAAATGTGTTTTTTGGGATCTTTCAGCTGGTCTAGAATGCTGAACATTGCCTGTTGACTACTTATATGAAGCATGGATGACTATCTGAACACTATTCAATGTACTATTCATTCTGTAAACCTCAGAACTGTCTTTGTCTGTCCCAGAAGGCAGGGGTGGGATGCTACTGGTTTGGCCCAGTTCTGAAGAGCAGCAGACACCGAACCGGTTCAGTGTCTGTTGCTCTGTTTGGCCCAGCTACCCGCCCGGGCTCTTGGCTGTCCTTTATTTCCTGCTTTTTCAACTTCAGCTGCTTTGCACGGCATGGCTGAGGTTGAAAAAGCAGGAAAGAAGAGGATTTTCAAATGCTGTGCACCCACGCACAGCACTTGTTAGCTGGCCGGGTGGCACAGCTGAGGTTTTTTGGAAATGGTCTACACACGTGTGCAAAATGAACTCTTACTAGGGATGGGATTCTACCTGCTGTAGAGCCAGCAAATCGCACCACTGGCTGACCCTGCCCTGCCCACTCACTCCTTACCTGGCATGCACGCCATCAAACTTGCCTGCTAAGTTGCTATTTTTCCACCACCCCCCGACCATCAGCTGTTCTGCTGTGTCTGGAGATTTAGATTAGCTAAAAAGCAGGCAATTGTTGGATTTCTTGCTTTCTAGCTAATCGAAAGGCAGAGCTGAGCTGAAGCTTCTATTATTCAGTGTTGACTCAGGTAGCAGATGGCAGAAACACAGATCCCTGAATGAATCTGTGATTCTGTGAGCAACTCAATCTGCTTGCCTGCTTTGCCTGATTTTGGGTAAAAGTTGCTCTTTTTTTATAAAAAAAATCAATATTTACATAAATACTTATAATATTTACATACAAGCCGTATCCAAGCCATGTCCAGTCAACAAGCCATGCCCAGCCAGTCACATGACCACCAGGCCACACCCACAAATTAGGCCACATTTGAATCCCACCCCTGCCAGAAGGTGTGCCAAACTTGTGCTCTCCAAGCCTTATTTCTGCTTTTCGAGGAGTGGACGCACATAAAGCAAAGAAAAATGTATTATCTGAACTCTTTCAGTGTGCCCTTCTTGTTACAGCACTGTTGCATCTTCAAAACATTCTTTGCTCTAAGACAAGCTTGGAGATTATACTTTGAGCAAACAATTATTGATCTCATTACCTGACCGGGTAATCAATCTGTGATGCTATTTTTCACCACTGCTGATTGAACCAGGGGACCAGATCTGGGCTGCACAGATGATCCCATGAGAACAGTAAAAAGATACATATAATTCTAATATTTTGCTGTTGTCTAGTGACTGCACTGATTTTGTGGCAGCCCTGATCTGATCATATTTTTGAACCAGTAATTTGCATCAGGTTGACTGACTGACATTCCGTTCTGGAAACTAGGGAATAAAGCTGAAGCTGTGAAAAATGGAAAAATCCCAAAGGGACCACAAATACAGAAACTAAAAATACCTTTTTCCCTGAGATGCCTCTTGTTGCGTTAAGATATTCTGCCACTTGTGCACCTCTGTACTGATTTCCCAAGGGCCCCAATAGGCAAATTTGCTGATTCACCCTGCCCTTAACCTTGACAACGATACCCCAAGGATAAGTTGGCTTAATGGGGCCTGCCATTTTAATTAGCTTTCACTTTAGCTTTTAACTACCCACTCCCACTGTTCTGTTAATTATGTTTTCAGGCTACCCCAGCACCTACCTTTTTCCTCAGCATAGTTTGACCGACACTGCATGATTCCCATGCAAGTTTTTTTTTCTCTCTCTCTGTCTCCCTTTGGAAGTTGCCAAAATAACCAATCATTTTCACCTAGCTAAAACCCAATTGAAGCAGTAACAGAGGGATGTGATGTTGTGGTCAAAACAATCTAAGGATCAAATGAGAAATGAAACAAATGGGCTTTTATAGATCGGCATCGTATTAGGTTTCTTATGTCCCCTTCCTTTGATATATTTTATTGCACAGAATCTGTCTCAGAATTCCCTGAGGACATGATAAACTATCAGAAGAGGCAGGTGGGAAAATACACTGGAAGGTTAAAGAGAGATGGGCTGGGGGAATGACAAAAACCAGAAATCATTGTTAGAAGCAGGCAGGTTTCCTGGGAAAAGGCCAGCTATGTGTGGCCTGAAGATTGTAGCTCTAGTTTTAATTAAGGATGGGTGACTTCATTGTTGCTAGGTCCCTGGAAATCAGTATGGTGAGAATCAACAATGTATTGGTTAGAAATGAAAAGTCTTTTTGTAGTGAGACTAACTCATCCTTAGCTTCACAGGCAATCTCTTATAGTCAAAATGGATTTCTTTGTCCTATTTGTTAGCTTTGAGATCTGCTAGGCATGTCTGTAGGTTTTTCACTGATAATATGCCATTATCAATTTAGTTCTACTTAGGACAGATTTATCCAATATTACTATTTTATTTGTCAATGAACAAACTGTGATCCGTTGGGTCATTGTTTCAGAGATATTTTCTTACCAAAACAGAGAAACAGAATGACCGAAGGCAAAAAAGCAGTGACAGTGACAACAATTTTCAACTTCTTGACAGCTTCGCTGTGGTTGACTGCCCTCCATCAGGTCATAGTGGGACTGGTCTACCTGGCCTCCAAAGGGCTAGGGTGGGATAAGTCTACCTGATCTCCAGCAGCCAAGGAAGAGGCTGCTGTACCTGGTCTCTGGAGTGCTACAGCAGGACCAGATTACTGAACATCTGGGCAACAGTGTGGCAGCATAGAAGCAACTACAAATTTGCTAAATTTCAATCCCACAGGAGTCATGGATTCCATGGATGGATTCCATAAATTAACCCATTTTATATCTTGGTTCAAAAATTGTTGCCTTATGATACACTGTTTTGCTCAGTTAAAGTTACAGACACAAAAGTTTCATTTGTAAATAAATGTTTTATGCATATACTTTTAGCAAAGAGCACAGATTTTCATTGCATCCCTTTTTATCCTCCTAATAAATTTATCATGCAGGTTAGGCTGAGAGAGAAGATGAGTCCAGGATCACCCAATGAAAGGATGTCCACATGCAATAACCATAAACAAAGGGTAGAGGTTTGGTTACTGCCCCCCCTTTGTCTCTTTCAGCCCCTTAGGATGCCCTTGCCAAGTGAACAAGAGTCAGTTTTAAGAGTGACTCTTAAAAGAGTGAAATTTCTGTCCTCCCAATCAGTCCAAAATTCTCACTATCCTAATTCCTCTAATATTATATATTGGCTGAGGGTGACATTTAGCAGTAATCATCTCATAACATTTTTCTTGTTTGTAATATTATGTCAGGGATATGCTCATGGGAATATTTTATCAAAGAATTAAGAATTATCTCTAAGTAAACCAAGTGTGTTTTCTAATAAAGGTTCAAGCCTTGTTAACCACTATTCAGAAAGGCCATTCTTATATGATTGACTCCAGCATATATTTAAATACATGCAAAGGAAGCCGTGGATCTTTCCTGCCATCTCTTAAAAAGAAATATGGCATGCATAAGGGGATAAGAATGAGTTCTTTGTTGAGTTTGACAACATGCTGGGAAAGCAAGCAGACCAAGGAAGATGCTGGTTGGTGCTCCTTTTTTCTGCCAAGAGGCAGTCAAAACAAAGCCAAACTCAAAATCAGTGGTAGTAAAAATGTGTAGACAAAATAATAGTATAAAAATATGGATAAATGTAGCATAATGATTCTTTTTATTTTCAATATAAGAATTATACCTCCGGCTCAAACACACCCCAACCAGGCACCCAGATGAAACCTAGCTTCCTAATAAATGATAGCCGTCCGTTTACTCGGAGCCAAGCCGCACTAAAAGCCTCCAATACAGGAAACACAATGTTGCCAGCCAATCAAGGCAAAAAAGCCACACAACAGACAGAAGATATTAGAAACACCAATCAAGCAGAACACAGCAAACTCCAAGACCAATAAACACAGACCAAGACTCCCAACCAATCAGGATGAAGAAAAAAACATTCTGGCACAGCAGTAGATTAGCACCAAATTTAAAACAGAAATGGCTGTGAAAGTCTGACTCACAGACGAACACAATACAGAAGCCTGATGATGGCAGATGAGATTTTGCCGAAACGTTGCTACAACTTTAAAAGCACAACTATAATGATGTGGGAAAATACCCGAACAAAGCTGAATACCACACACACACACACACACACACACACACACACACACACGTACGTACGTACGTATGTATGTATGTTATGTCTCACCTTTACAAAGGAGGTGAGAAGTCCGAACTCCAACTGAATACAAACAAGCAAGCAAATCCAGTAATTATAGAGTTAATTCCTTGAGCCGATAAAGTTCTTGGCAGTCTCACACAAGCTGTCTGCCAAGTCCGACAAGAAAGCAGGAATATAAATCACACAAGCTGTCACAACACAGAATACTCCAAGGCTCCTCTGAATAAGTCACACGTTGTCCCGTATGAAGCTCTCAGAGTGAACACACCCACTTTTATTCCCTGTGGGATGTGTCAGTCCCTCAGCTCAGTCTCTGATTCATCCCTTCCTCCTGCGTTGCAGCTCACACTTTTGCCTACGACGCTGCTTCGCATCAAGCCAGCATTCCTTTGCTTGATTCTCTGTCAGAGACTCCGATATGCCCTCCTCCTTTTCCTGATTAGCCTCAGGTTTTCCCTCTCAGTTATCTGCCGACACCTGAGGCACAATCAGGGAGGAAGGCATTGCCGAAGAGGAAGGTCCTGGGGAGGAAGGCATTTCCAAATCCTCCTCTTCCCTATTGTCCGAGTCTCCATCCTCTAACAATGCAGGCTCAAACCTCAGAGCCACAACATATATATATATATATGTATTTGTTTTCTTAAGTTTTCATGGGTACTTACATGTATGGTATTCAGCTTTGTTCAGGTATTTTCCCACGTCATTATAGTTGTGCTTTTAAAGTTGTAGCAACGTTTCGGCAGAATCTCATCTGCCATCACCAGCCATATACATATATGTATATATATGTATATATATGTAGTATATACTGTATATATATGAATGGCCCGGATTACATACTGTATAAATGACTTGAATTCAGGACAAAGAAATATTCCTAATTGCACGAACCAAGTTGTGAGCATGCATACATACTCAAGGTTGGAATGAGTAGCCTATAGCTCTCCAGATGTCAATGGACTGCAGCTTCTATGATTCCTTACTATTGAGCATACTTGTTAGAGTAGATAGAAATCTGACATCTGGAGGTCCATGTGATATTTTGGCACATAGTCTACAAAATGTACTGGGAATTAAATATACTCTATCATTCTTCCCTTTCTCCAAAGCTAGTACTGTTACATTTTCTTTTATTCCCCTTTTATTTTTTCTCAATAAATATGGGTTGTTCATGAAAATCTGATGAATCACTGATCCAATAACAGGATCAATAGCAGATAGCTCTTGGTTTTAAGAAATTACCATTAATTATTTGATCTTCTTGTTATTTTAGATGAAACTTTATTCATGGAACCAGAAGTTGAATTGATCTTATAAACTGCAAACTATAGCATATTGTTGAATTAATCCTGCAACACGTTTCAGTTCTAAAATAATTCAATTACCCAAACATTTGAATTTTGGAAAAATACAACTTTAGCATCAATACAAGTCATTGAGTATGCCCAAATCATCAAAGCTTTGAAAACTTTCCAAACAATAATAAGAATTAGTATGGCCAGCCAAGTTTACACTAAGATTTTTAAACACTTTTTACCAAGTGCAAATTATGAGCCAAAATAAATTGTTATATAAAAGTAGCATTTTTTTCAGGACTGATCTTTTGTTTTTAAAAATTGTCCAGACAGCTCATTCAACTATTATAGCTGTTGCATGAACAAAAAAATAAATAAAATTAAAGTGGTATTCTATTACAGAATGAAAAGTATCAGGTAAGAGAGGTTTGAAATATATTAGTAGATTCATTTTTAAAATAAGGATATTTGATGTCTAAACCAGCAAAGCTCTTCTCCTGTGGATAGCCAGAGGATTGGTGGTATAGACCTAGAACTAAGGAGAAATTTCCTGACAGTGAGAACAATCGACCAATGGAAGGGCTTGTCTTCAGGGGTTGTGGGTGCTCCATCACAGGAGGGTTTTAAGATTCTGGATATCCATTTATCTGAAATGGTATAGGGTCTCCTGCATGAGCAGGGGGTTGGAGTAAAAGACCTCCAAGGTGTCTTCCAACTCTGATAATGATGATGTTTAGGATCCCATGTTTCAGGGTTTGATACATAAAGTTTGCAAGAAATCGTAGAAACTCTAGGGCAGGGGTTTCGGCAACTTTAAGAATTACGAACTGCAACTCCCAGAATTGTCCAGCCAGGACCATTGCTAGTTGAAATCCACAGATCTTAAAGTTGCCAAGATTGAATACCCCTGATCTAGGGCAAGCACAAAATTCAATGTCGCCTCTACAAAAGATATACTCTTCCAATGAAATGGAATGCTATTTCATTGGAGATGGGGTAGATTCAGTGGTGGGATTCAAAACTTTTTACTACCAGTTCTGTGGGCATGGCTTGGTGGGCATGGCAGGGGAAGGTTACTGCAAAATCTCCATTCCTTCCCCACCCCACTAACCTGCTTTCCAGCTCTGTTCTCCTGTGCAGGGCAACAAAAGAAGACCCAGCTGATCAGCTGAGACTCGGGAGGCAGAGAATAGATAGGGGTGGGGCCAGTCAATGGCGGTATTTGCTGGTTCTCTGAACTACTTAAAATTTCCTCTACTGGTTCTCCAGACCTGGTCAGAACCTGCTGAATACCACCTCTGGGTAGATTGTATTATTCAGAGGAGAGAGATGAATATTTCCATTGTTACAGTGACATGTTAATATGTTATTCCTCCACAGCTCATACACCAGATAATTCTTTCATGGGGTTTGTGTCAGAAGAGCTCAATGTGACTGAGAAGCAATTTATTAAATCCAACAAGGCCAACAATATGGCAGTTGTCTATGGGAAGGAAGCCAGCATTTGGAAGGTTGGTTACATACACAAACAAACATTTCATCCCAACCATATAAATCAGGGGTCCCCAACCACCGGTCCGGGAACCGGTACCGGGCCGCGGAACAACTCCTACCGGGCCGCTGGCTTGCTGGGCGCTGCCATCTTTTTTTCATGAAAAAGTGCTTCCGGTGAGCTTTTCCGGGTAGAAAGCTCACCGGAAGCACGTTTTCATCAAAAAAAAGATGGCGGCGCCCAGCTGATGCCGGTACCGGGCCGCGGCGTCAAAAAGGTTGGGGATCACTGATATAAATAATGAAACTCATTCATCCCTCGCCACTGTTTGAAATGCCTTTTATGCCTTTGGGGTGCATTTTATATATAAGCTCAAGGATCTTGTGAAATAAGGAATGTATCCTTTATCTCCTCAAATTGGGATTTAACCGACCGAGTGAATTCACACACTTTTCCCAGCCTGATCCAGCTTCCACAGGCAAAGGAGTTGCAGGGTCAAAATTGGGTCTGGGTTTTGCTCCTGATTTTATTTATCCAAACCTTGAAGGGCAGTTGCTAAACCAAGTTTAAAATGCCCTTTGTATTAATGAATAAAAGTGATATATAAATATCTTGCTCAACCCTACATTAATGAAATCATTTGTTTAATTGAGGGTGAGGATGGGGGAAGAACCACATAAACATATGTGCCATTTTAAGTGTTGCAGTCCTGCAGAGTTTGGGAACCTCTTTCTAGAGAATCCCATCTTCAGACACCACATCTTGCATGCTAATTCTGGGTGCATAATCCACAAGTCTCTTTTTTTTTCATACCAAACCTAGTTGCATAGTCTCACTCCCTGTTGAGTTCTTTGAATTTTATATTTAGCCTGGGAAAACTATGACTATTAGATTGATTTTGTGACGGTCCAGACCTTAATCTTTGTTTATCTTAATTTTTTATTCTTTACACTACTTAATGTTAATAATGGCCCCAGGGGCATTTATGAATGTCATAGAAAAGCAGGCTGCAGTTTTAAGCTATGGTGACATTCGGTGAGAATTTTGCCCAAGAGAAGAAAAACTGACATTCAAGACAACCCTGAATTGAAAAAGCTATACTAAATTAATTTCATGTGAAGTTTCAGTAGAAGCACTATTTGGACAGTATTCTGAAACTGCAACCCAAAGATTTTCTCAAAATCCATCATTCAACTACTGTATAGGGGATCTACTCCTTCAAAAACCTGGCTGTGCAGTATGGGGTGGTTGGTAGAACTGAGAGAAAGATGTCATGATTGGTCTGACTTCAGGTTGCAAAGCTCATATCTTGAGGATACAAACTGGCAATCAAAGCTTGCTTGCTTGCTTTAAATTATTTCAATTTTCCTAGAAGAAGACAAGTCACACAGGCCAACTGACCATAGTAAATATTTTCCTGTATTAATGCTACAAACGAAGATCAGATTCTGAACTAATCACAACTTTTAAGAGTTCTATGTTCCATATTCGATCATTCAAGCTGACCTCTTCAAACCTAAGTCATCTAAAACATTCATAGCATTGGTTCTGTTTTGTTTTGTTTTGTTTTTATTTGGAGAATATTTTTTTCCACGGGAAGAAGGATGACAGCTATGTTGCTGGCCTTTTCAAGAATGAAGAAGAATTTGCTATGGGTTGATTATAAATTCAGCTTGTTTGGTGACCACCAGGCTGGGGGAAGTTAGATTTGATGAATGGCTGTTCTGATCCACCCAAGCTCTTTACATGGTCATATAACTTGTATTTCACCATCTTGGAGCATTTTAGTTTGTTGTCTTTTATACACAGGAAGTCAATCTTGCCTCTTCTTGCTTCTCTCTATGTGCCAACATGGATTTCCAGTTACAGGTACAGTAAGTCACAAATCATTTTGAACTATACATATATGTTTAATGTATTATAGCAGAACAAATAGTGCTTTAATGCTTTTCATATGTAGATTATATGCATTTAAATAACTGTTTTCAAAGTGGAGTTTAATATGAATTATTACAAAGAGATTTTGGATAATTCTTTAAAGTGACATTCATCTCGTCTTTTTAGCAAGATAAATCATTTTATTCTGATTGCCTTGATACAAATGGCATTTGCTCAACACACATACATTCTTTATAAAGGACATGGACATGGCAAGTTCTCATTTTCTTCATGTTGCTTCCTCTCATTTGCTGCTGGTGTCTACTTTGCATATCTATGAAAAGGGTTATCTTCCCTCCTGTGACTACTGTTCCATTTTTCAGAGAAAACAATTATTTCTTCCCTAGGCAGAATCAAAGTGTTCATAGTGAATTTTTAAGAGAAAGGTTTTTTTTTTTTAATCTACACACACTCTGGCAGAGACATTTTCTCCCTAGAAATCTGGCCCCTCCACAATTGGAGAAATCAGTTATGCCTCATTCGGCAATTGCTCCTTACTGAAATCTCTAAGCGGCAAAAAAGCTCTATTAAGAGGCAGTGAAGAGCATCAACCACAAAGAGAAACTGCAGACTTCTTTAGAGAAAGTTCTTTCTCTTTTCCCATCATATTTATGACTCCAACCAAACATGCAACATATTTTACTGTCTTGTTCATTTCTATGCATATCTAACACAAAACAAATAAAGCAATTACTATAAATACATATCTGCTATCAAATGGTTTTCCTTTGTTGATATGTAGGAATAAATATGTGACGCATATACATTATATATGAGGACTCCTTGGTGCTCTCTGAGCTTGCTTGTTTTCTTGCAGATGTTTCATTACCCTAACTAGGTAGCATCATCATCATATATATTCTTCTGCTCAATTGTGTTCAGACATCCCTGTGTAGAATCAGAAATCATGAAACATTCACCTGTAGAATCCATGCTAAAACATTTCTGTACCTCTGCTATAAGGTCCAGCGGTGGGCCTGGGATGTGTTTCATGGCCAGAAATACTAAGGGTAGAATTTTAAATCAGGAATAGCCCATTGTTGAAATTTTGGGGAATCTGAGGAAAAAGTTGCCTGAGGCAAGGCAATAATACACAATGAAAGGAAGCAGATCACACACATGGGCAGAACAGCATTATGATACTGAGACAAGATACAGCTGCATTTAAAAAAAAGTACCAACACATTTGTGCCTTTGTATCAGAGGTGGTATTCAGCAGGTTCTGACCAGTTCTGGAGAACTGGTAGCGGAAATTTTGAGTAGTTCAGAGAACCAACAAATACCACCCCTGACTGGAGGTTTTACAGTATCCTTCCTTCCCCTGCCATGCCCACCAAGCCACGTCCACAGAACCGGTTCTAAAAAAAAATGAATCCCACCACTGTTCTATATACTCAAAAACATATTTTGAAACAACATCGATTCTAAGGCATCTTGCACAGCTGGGAGGGACCCAATGGGCAAGGAGTGGCAAGCCTTGCCCTGCAGTGACATCACACTGCATCACCCTCCCTTTTGCCTCCATCATGATGAAGCTGCAGGGTGGGGCCTGCAATGACATCACCACAGAGACTCAGTTGCTATACAGGCAAATCTCATTCCTTGTTTGACAGACGGCTTGTTTTCTTGCCAGTCATTACTAATTATCAGCCAAAAGGAGACCAGTAGCAACTTGATGCAGCAACTTGGCCTAATTTTTGACAGCAAGGAATAATAAAGCTGCCTCCTCCACCCTTTTCTCCTTTTCTTTTTTTTCAACTATTTGCTTGGGTGTAAAAATATATATATATCTAGGAATTAAATTGTCCACTGGCTTTGCTGGCTCTGATGCCAATGCCCCTCAACTCTTTTCAGAGTTTATATGTCCATTTGTGAAACTGGGTGGGAAAAGGGTCTGAACAGAAAAAAGGTAGGCAGCCAGGTAGCTTCATTTCTTTTCCCAGTTTGAGTTGTCACAGGCTCCAAGGAAGCTATAGAGTTCATGGAATCCAGAAATAAATATCTGGGTTCCCCAGAACATTTCACAGCTGCTAGTATGCTTAGCTCTAGCTGTACTCTGGCAGAGATGGTATTCAGCAGGTACTGACCAGTTCTGGAGAACCAGTAGAGGAAATTTTGAGTAGTTCAGAGAACTGTCAAATACCACCTCTGACTGGAGATTTTACAGTATCCTTCCCCTGTCATGCCTACCAAGCCATGCCCACAGAACCGGTTGTAAAAAAATTTGAATCCCACCACTGTTCTGTGGCCTATTCACTTGAATTCACTGTTTCCAAAAAGCTGATACTGGTAGTCCACAAGTTACAACCATTTGTTTAGTGAGCATTCAAGGTTATAATGGCACTGAAAAAAGTGACTTATTTTTCACACTTATGACCATTGCAGTATCCCCATGGTCATGTGATCAAAATTCAGATAGCTGGCAACTTGTTCATATTTATGATGGTTGCAGTATCCCGGGGTCATTTGATCACTTTTTGCAACTTCTGATGAGAAAAATCAATGGGGAAGCCAGATTCTGTCAACAACCATGCATTGCAACCTTGCAGTGATTCACTTAACAGGTGTGGCAAGAAAGGTCATAAAATGAGGCAAAACTCGCTTAACAAATGTCTCACTTAGCAACATAAATTTGGGGCTCAATTTGTGGTCATCAGTTGAAGACTCCCTGTATATGATGCTGTGCACACTGCTCCAGGAGATAGGAATTAGATGAATGCTGGTATTTGAAATGACGAAGACCCACTACTGATCTCTTGAAGTGGGAGCAATTGAGCCCAATCTTTGTACCACATGGCTGTTGCAGGTTCTATAAATTGATCAGCAATACCGGGACATTCCTTCCTTTATGAGCGTTAATTAGGAGAATTTGTGTAAAGTTGAGTTTCAGATCCACCATATTGAATGTTGACATCTTTGCTTTTTCCTCAGAATAATTAGGTCTTTTAAGGCTGAGGTAGATGAGGAGTTGAAGAAAGGAAAGGGGAATGAAAAGAGTGCTGTTCAGAGTGCTGTTTGGTGCTGACCACAGCTGAATTCAAAGGGGAATTTGCTTTTTTGAGTAGAATTTGTGCTGGCTGCAGAAAAGAGATCCATGCTTGGGAATATTGTGCAACATATATTGATCTGCAAGTGTATGCATTAGATAGAGCGTTAATGAAGTCCTTACCAGCTCTGTGCAATTATTTAAAGATAGCATCAGATGAGCTCCAAATTAATCAACCTAATGCATGTTGGATCTCCAGAAGGAAAATTGCCAGGTCGTGGCAGCAAGATACCACTTTTCTTCTTCTTTTATCTTTTTAAATCTGTCTATTTTCTTCCCGCAATAAAGCAATTAAACAAGATAGAAGCAATTACATTTTCTACCTGCACTCAAGAAGGTGTTCGAGAGGCTCTCACCTTCTAACATATAAATGGTTCGCCCTATTTTTCTCTTTAGCTTTGCACTGAATGTGCTATTTGCTAAACGTACCCTTTGAATGTTTCCAAATAGAACTGTTTACCAGGCTTTTAATTGCTGTTTATAATATCTCTGGTTTATACTTTTTTTTTCATTGTGAAGGCTTTTCAGTAACCCATGGATAAATAAATACACACACTGATCAAAGACAATCATTCTCTAACAGGATGGGTGTTGCAGAAGAATTAGAATAAAGGAGAAAGAGCAAAAGAGAGAGAGAGAGAGAAATCATACAGTACAGGAAGCCCCTCTCATTAAGAATAAATTTGTGTGTTTGTTTTGGGGACTTGTACTCCTAGATGTACACATGGACACAAATATTTTAAGCCACAAAAAAACCCCCATCCAAATTGTACTAAAGTGATATTTTATTTAGTATCTACTAGTAAATGCCAGAAACAAAATATCCATAGTAAGTTTTCAAGTACTTAGAATTTTTGGCTGGGTGTTTAGTTTAATTTATTGAGGCTAATCTTTAATGTTAAAAGGGAAATTTGGGGTGCAGATTCACCCTTTGGGGAGAAACGAAGTGCAGAAGAAAACTACACAGATCCCTTGTTAATCTAAAGTTAATCTAAAAAGCAGTTTTATAGACACCAAGAGTATGGTTTGTTTTAAGTGTTATGTTTACATTGACATTAACTCTAAATATTAGTTAAGGCCAGTTGCACTGCTTAGTGGATTGAGTTAATTTCCACTAGAATTGAAGGTTTGATTCTCAGGTAATGAAAATTTCATCTATTTCAGGCCCTACTCATTAAAAAGTAAAGCTTGGTTTTTGATATGGGATGTGTCTGTGTCTGTGTCTGTGTGTGTGTGTACAAATACATATACATACATACATACACACATACACGCACGCACACAGTACAAAGTTAAATCAACCATGTTCATTAAAAAAGATATTATAGAAGGGCAAATATCCATTGTCTTATAACATTCCTTCTATTATAGGCCAGTATTTTTTAATCTCACATTCACAGAAGGGTCTCTAAACACAGACAGCTTATAGCTGTGGTGAGGTTTTTGAAGAAACAGCATTCTCAAATCACAGCTTATTCTTTTATTCCTGCCTTAGTGGATCTACAAATGTGATTTGGAATGCATTTTATTTGCTTAATTCTATGTTTCTTCAGCAGAAGACTAACAGTTGAATAAAATCTATGTAAGTTTAATAAAATTTGAGGGTTACAGAATCCTTACTCTCAAATGTAGTTGGCAGCAGACTGCTGAAAATGTATTTTCCACTGGCTCTTCTTTTAGCTATTCATATTAGATTTGGTAGAAAAGATATGATATTGTACCCCCCCGAAGGAGGAAAATATATATCAAAATTTGCCTATGTATATATCATATTTCTAAGCTGCCTGACTCTTGAGTTGTCTCTGGTGGCACTCTTGCCTTTGATTTAGTTAGGGCTGAGTGTGTGAGATGCATTGTATTGCATCTTTCCATATGAAACCCAAGAAATGTATCATAAAGAACCCACATGGGACTTTGTCATGCTAGGAAAGAGGGAGGGGGGGGGGGGGGTTATCTAAGCAGCAAAATGTCTGAAGACTGCCCAGATCTTACTGGATTGAGATAGTATGTAAAATACTAATACATAAATATCATAAAGGAAGAACAAAGTACCTCTACCTCCTCTCACAAGTTCACAAAAGCCATCCAAAGAAACTCCAAAGCCTGTTGAGGAAGAAAAATAGAGAGCAAAATGTTCAGGATTTCAAGCTGTCTTAACAGGCCCTGACTAGCCCCTTTCCTTTCCTTTCCTTTCCTTTCCTTTCCTTTCCTTTCCTTTCCTTTCCTTTCCTTTCTTTCCTTTTCTTTCCTTTTCTTTCCTTTCCTTTCCTTTCCTTTCTTTTCTTTTCTTTCCTTTCCTTTCCTTTCCTTTCCTTTCCTTTCTTTTCTTTTCTTTTCTTTTCTTTTCTTTTCTTTCCTTTCCTTTCCTTTCCTTTCCTTTCCTTCCTTTCCTTTCCTTTCTTTTCTTTTCTTTTCTTTCCAGGGTAAAGAGAAGTTTCTAGCCATCCTTAACAAGTACATGGAGATCCATGGCACTGTTTATTATGAAACCCAACGCCCACCGGAGGTTCCAGCTTTTGTGAAGAATCACGGTCTTTTGCCCCAGCATGACTTTCAGCAACTGCTGAGAAAAGCCAAGGTATTGGCCAGATAATTCTGTTCCCTAGCTGAGGAATGTGTGGATGCTAAAGGAAAAAAATAGCACTTAGCAATAGCACTTAGTCTTCACAGTGCTTTTACAGCCCTCTCTAAGCAGTTTACAGAGTCAGCATATTGCTCCCAACAATTTGGGTCCTCATTTTACCTACCTTGGAAGGATGGAAGGCTGAATCAAATTTGAGCCTGGTGAGATTCTTGTACTGCCAAATTGCAGGCAGATGGCAGGCAGCAGTAGTAGCCTGCAAGTACTGCATTCTACCACCACCACTGCAGCTCTTAAAGAATAACAGATTAACAGTTGGAAGGGATCTTGGAGGGTCTTCTAGTCCAACCCCTTGCTCAAGCATGAACCCCTATACCATTTCAGACAAATGGCTGTCCACTCTCTTCTTAAAAATTTCCAATGATGGAGCACCCACAGCTTCTGAAGGCAAACCGTTCCACTCATTAATTGTTAAATTAACTAGTTCGTTTAACTGGTTAAAAGCCCCTTTTTGGCAGAAAAAAAGCTTTGCTTCCTGCAGTTGCATGAACACAGAAACAAATTATAGCAATGTATTCATACCTACAAAAGGCCTTGGGAAAGAAGATCTAGATGGCCTTGCATCGCAGGATTGCAGAGCTGAAAAACAAAACCTCAGGGGAGTGGTATTAAAAACATCAGTGAAGAAAATGTCCTTTGGCAAGTTGCTTAATTTGCTAGTGGGGATCAGTCACTTGACAGCATTTGTCTTTGCTCTAAATCAATGTTTCCCAACCTTGGGAATTTTAAGATGTGTGTTTTTCGACTCCTGGAATTCTCCAGACAGCCATGCACGTTGCTCTAAATTATGGTCAAACTATAATGGTTGTGAGAACACAGTTTAAGACAGGAGACTTTTTTCAGGAACCATGGGAAACGATAGTACAGATATACAGTAGTTTGCATTCCAGGGATGAAATCTGTCCACTAGAACTATGGGTTAAAGACTTTATCAGTAGGTGACCAGATTGCCTTATGGAGGATGGCAGAATTCAAAATGTACGATCAGCTTGTTTTATCCATCATTTTGGTTTTTAAATGCTACTCCAGAATAAAGCTAAATAGAATCACTCAAGACAAATTAAACAGAACTTTGGAACATTTATTTTTCAGGGAGGGAAAGGTAGGATGCATATCAGTCATAGAACATTGCACACCTTTTCCCTCCCAAATTTGGATCGTGTAACACTTCATACTTGTGAAAGTGTGTGGGAGATCATACTCTTAGATGTAGTTCCAAACACTTAGCTTCTTCCAAGGGTCAAATTCAGGGTCTAATAGCTCATAAAGCATGTTCTTACTGCAGTATATTGGAAATGTTTTTTTTTTTCACAAGTGCAACCTTTTGAAATTGCATGCATGGAATCTGAGACCACACGGGTGAATGAAGCCCCATTTAATTGTATAGGCCTTCTCAATGCAGGGATTAAAGAAATGAAAAACACAAGAAGGACTAGGAAAGAAAAGATAAAGAAACCAAATTCCGAACTTGCACTTCTCAATTTCACACTGTTCACCATTTCTCTGCCTAAAGTAAATTACAAGATAACATTTATAAACTTATCATTTGACATCTGGCCTATTGAAGAAAATTAGACTTCAATAGCTAATTATTAATATGTGCAAGTTAGTAAAGGGTAATAGTCATAGGCAGTGAGAGGAAAAACATTCTGTGGCTTGTTCTACAGTATATAAAAAGGAAGACTGATCAACCAAGAGGAAACATGTCAATGAAAAGTTCAAGCAAAGACTTCATGGAACATTCATTCCCACTTATAGTAAAACAGCCATAAGTTCCATTCGGCTGAATGGGCGAGAGAGGAGCAATCAAAACTGTTTTACAAAAGTGTTGTACACCAATGTTTCTTTCCTTGGCCGAGGCAAGGAACTGAAGGAGAAAATACATATATTTGAATAGCCTACATCTCCCAAAGATTGCTAAATGCCTGGATTTGCTTTCCACAGCTCTTTATCGGCTTTGGTTTTCCTTACGAAGGCCCTGCCCCTTTGGAAGCAATAGCTAATGGATGTGTTTTTCTGCAAGCTCGTTTCAATCCACCCCACAGTTCACTCAATCATGAATTCTTCAGAGGGAAGCCAACATCAAGGGAGGTTAGTCTGCTTTATGATGGTACGACCAAGCTTATTTTGTCTGTTTGCTTTTTCATAACATACTGCATTATGATTTCTGAACTGATGAGCCAGAACTGTCTTGTTGACTTGGATATCTGACGCAGAAAGGGGTAATTTGTATCCAGACTAAATGCGTCAATACTTTTGAGACATAGCCTGCTCCAGAGGCCAGGATAAAGAAGTTATATAACCAATTACTTAAATGCGTTGTTCTGACAACAAATGCATTTGAAGAAAAGTGTCGTGTTATTCTTGCTTGCATAAAGCAAGGTAAAAGTGATTCTGCATGTTGCAATATGCATGTAGATATATGAGTGAGAGATTTGGACCATATTTCGGCCAAATTCATGTTTGATTTTGAATAACCTAGAAAAATGTATAAATGACTCAAATTATTTTATAAGAATTTATCTGATATAAAAGGAAGATTTGGTCCATGAAAATGTTTATGCAGACTTATGAAATGCATACTTTTGGAACCTTAGTGGGGCACTTTAGATGCCTGTGAAGTTTCCAAAATCTCACTCATCATGAATGATGGTGAGAGCTTGTGGGTTCCACAACTACCACCCCTGGTTTTGTCCAAACAGCAGAAGAATTATGTGCCAGAAATCAGTAGGAAACATTCTTATAACATTTGTATAAATGTTCATGGAGATTTCATTTTTTGCTGAATTCACTGATGCAGAATAACGAGTAAGAATTAGTTCAGAGTAAGGAACAGAAGCAGTCAGGAAATCAAAATGAACCCATTCCTACCCTTATCTCATAACTACTGTAGCTCTTCTGGCTCTAATGCTTTGTCATATTTTCAGAAATGTTTCCCACCCCAGAGGGCCATATGGGAAATGCTAAGTAATTCATTTCTTGTGTACATTTTAGGTATCCTCTCAGCATCCCTATGCAGAAGATTTCATTGGAAAACCTCATGTGTGGACAGTGGATTATAATAATTCAAAGGAGTTTGAATCGGCCATCAAAGCAATTATGAGTACTAAGGTAATTGTAGGTGACTTATTGATGGACTGCACTAGTACAGGTGGTTCTTGGTTGCTTAGCAAGTTTGGTTACTTAACAACCATTTAAAGTTATGATGGACTAAAAATTTTTAGAACCTGTCCTCGAATTTATAATTAACACACACACACCACAAAGCACTGTATGGTCACATGGTCACACTTCAAGCACTTGGCAACTGGCTTGCATATATGACCAGTTGCAGCACTTCATGCACAATGACCCCAATTTGTTACTCTTTTTTTTTTTTTTGCTATTTTCCTCTTTCTGTCAATATCAAAAGTGGAAATTTTGCAATTTTGACTTGTACCAAGGTTGTGTCATAAGAAATCTAGCTGTCCTGTTGTGAAGATGTTGCGTTATTATAACAATGTGGTACCCACATGGGGTGCTGCCTGAGACAGTGTGAATGTGCCTCTGCTCCATTGCCCACAGCATGGTCTGATGATGGCTTTAAAAGGAGGTTATCGTGCTGCCAAAACACATGGCTTTCTGTACCAAATTTTACAAAGGGGTAAAAAATGGGCAAAACAAACATTCAGGTGCATCTTTGGAGAACAACCATCTATTCCTTCCTAGTTTTGTTTGAATTCAGTTGCTTAAAATTGAGTCTAGAGTATTTCTTTCTTGTTATAATGGTTTCTCAGACTCCTGTGTGTCCATCTGGCTTGCAAAAAACAAAATATCTTCAATACAGTAAAGATAAAATATGATGGGAGATGAATGAAGCAGACAAAGCCACAAAGATATCTCAAAGCTACCAGTGTTTTACCCCTTCCAAGATCTGATCAACCCAAGTCCTTGTACTAGTATAAACTAGTATGTAGTACATAGTGAATTCAAAATCTGGGAGAATTGCAAGAACCTGTTACCCAATATAGACTCCATCCATCAGAAGCCAATAAATTAGGCTGTACATAATTCATTTTAATCTGTTTAACTTCAAGTCAGTAATACTCCTAAAGGCAGTTTTAGGCTATCACTCTACTAATGATTTCACAGGTCCAAATGTGCATATCTTTTTATATCAGTTCAGCATCTAGTTTCTCTATGTTTCTCATTCTCTCATTCCACACATTCAATATGAATGTCTTAGATCCTATATCGATACATTTGGACAGATATTCCTCTCTGTGTCTTTTATTCCATTGCTTTGTATGTGTGTGTGTGTATGTGTCTGCCATCAAGTCAGCATTGACTCCAGATAACACGGGTAAGCCATTGCTTCCTTCCTAGGTCTGAGACAGAGTAATTGGCCCAGGTTCACCCAGCTGATTTTGCACCTAAGCTGGAACTAAGGTCTTCTGTTTTTTAGTCCAGTGCCTTTAACTACTACATCAAACTGATTCTCTTTATTCCATTAATGGGATAGAAAGCATAATGTAAGCTTTATCATGGGTTTAAAACTATTAAAAACACAACTTTCCAATCCTTTCCAAACCCAAAAAATCCTGATACTTGCCTCTATGGATAATTGCCCATTATAATCTTCAGCCTTCCTCCAGTTTTAAAAGATTGCCCAGTCCTGCAGTTAAAAGCCTCCCTTGCAGTTCCATCTAATCTGCAAATAGCTTCTACCCACTGATAATTCTTAGGCTACCTTACCACCACTATGCATCTCAGCCTCCATATCTTAGTGGGTGATGTTATTTTTCATCATTAACAACAAGCAGTCACAGACTTCAGCACATTCATATATTCATTGTCAGCTTCTGGGCACTTCCCCCGCACCCCCAGGCAGCTCTATGAAGCTTGCTCTTCCTCAAATGTGAATGCAGCAAAAACAAACAATGGTTGTTCTTTCATTTAATGATGATTAGAATTAGCCATATTAAGCTAATCAACAATAAGAGAAAATGTGTCAAGTACTTGTTTCCCAATATGAGTATTTCGCATGCTAGTAAAATTACTGGGAAAAGTAATTTCAAAAAGGCAACTTCTGAAAAATGTGGGTCCTGCTGTGTGATGCAGTTTTTTCCTTCAAAATTTCAACATATATCTGTCAACTCCCTACTAGCAGAAGCCTTTCAACTTGTCTAGAGAATTAAAGTCAATTTTCCTGGGGGGGGGGGGGGGGGGGGAATGGGCTGATCTCCATTTTGCTTTCAACTTACTTCAGGGGGTAGAAGCTAGTCCCTGTTGTTCCAAAAGATGATATACTGCAAAACGTTGCTTCTTTTTAATACCTGGTTCTGAAGATCAGCAGGAGCCAAGAAATTCAGCCCACCTGAGATGCTATTAAAGAGAATGCTTTAGGAACTAGTGTGAGAACTTTCATATACTATAACAAAACTGGCTCGTTGCCAAATGTACATGTGCCGGGAAGTACAATAATTGCTAATCCCATATTCCTGGTAAAAGTTCCTATTAGGCCTGTGCAAATCAGCTCTGATTACTTTCAGATTGAATATTAGGGATTCAAAGGGCTTATGATTAAATCATATTTGAAAATTCAAGGGCAGGCCAGTTTGATTCAAATTATGTTAGGATTACATACGCTATAAATGAGGAGGTATCTGAATATCTGAAGCTGCTTCCGTGCTGTTTGGTGGAATGGGAATAAGGTAGTAGCAATGGGAGGCTCAGTAGAGCAGGAGTGTCAAATTGGCAGCCTGTGGGCCGGATGCATCATGCGCAAGCCATGCACACCCCAGCTCTGTGAAGGTGAAAAACATCACGAAATGTCACGTGATGGCAATGTGACACAGCAAATTTGATACCTGTGAAGTAGAGAATCTTCACTCTCCAAGTTCCATCCAGATTACTTTCAAGATGTTACCAGAAGAGATTTTTAAAACATCCCCCCTGCACCCATGAGGAGCAATGATTAAATGTGAACTGTATTATCATGATGCAAACTCTACCCCTTTTGTACTTGTATGTCGAGTTCTGAAGCAGGCATATAATGAGCAGAGTTGTGTCTCTTTTAAGGCAAAGACAACAGGAATGAGAACAGGGGTAGTTCAACAACCTTCACAATTTCCCTTCAAATAGCCTGCATAAAAACCATGTTGAACCAATGCAGAAAATGTCCCACTCTTAGTTGAATAAAATGTCCCACTCTTTCTTAGTGGAATAAAATATTTTTTTAAAGCAATAGAAAGGAAGTATGTACCGTGTTTCTCCAACAATACGGCCTCCACCAATAGGAAGCCCCACCATGTTTTATTGGCATAAAATCAAATTAAGCCCCTCCCCCCAAATTAAGCCCCATATTAAACATGCGAAATGGGGGGGAGAGCGGGGGGGGCTTGTCGTTAGTAAGTACTTTTGTTGCATGCCCGGATATGGTGCTGCCTTCGTTGGTGGGGCACTTCATATCGGGAGACCTTCCACCGTTGCTTCTCCCTTCTCCCTTGCTGCCCCTTCTCCCTTGCTGC